TAGGGCTGGGGGCACGTACAGGGGGGTCCAGGGGGGCACGCCAGAAGCGCTGGGAGAACGAAGGGGTCACTGCGTGTCCTGGCAAGAAGACAAGCTGGCCTGGAGGGCACCCAAACAGTGCACAGCACGCCCCAGGAGCATGTCTGAGAGGCACGGAGAGCCGGGGAAGTGCCCAGACACACACAGGCACCCCAAACTCCTTCCTTCTTTTGCCAGCTGTGACCACAGATCCTCCTGGGCAAAAATCTGGGTGCAATGAACAACCAGTCCCGAGCACGGCTCCTTTGCAGGCGCTGCGGGTTCTGCTGGCAGCACCATTCCCTGCAGCCTGGCCCAACCACTCTGCTTTCCTTTCCAGTTTTCACTTGCTTCCTTCAAACCATCCACATTTTTGTCCTTGCACTCTTAGGCATGCCAAGGGCCTAGGCAAAATCTCCAGGCCCCCAGGGATGGAGACAAGGTACCCAAAGAAGGATGCTCAGCGAGGCAGGGAGCAAGGAGACAGGAGGAAAGGCTGAGGGACGTACCCAGAGACAGAACTTCCAGAGCCGCACAGCTGTCCTCTGCTGGGGCTGAGCCACAGCCCCCCCTGCACAGCAGGTACCCAGGCCTGGTTTGCCCCCGCAAAGCTCCTCTTGTTCCGCCGCAGGGTGAGGTTCTTCCTCCCTGCCCGGTGGCCCTCAGGAGTGTCAGTCATGCCAAAGCCTGCAGTCATCACCAACAACGGCAGCAGCTTCACTCAGGCAGGCTTTGCAGGCCAGAAGAAGCCCAAGCTTGTGCTAAGGACTGTGTCGCTGCATCCCTGCCGTGCAGGTACGAGGTGGGAGACCCTGCAGCACCCCACTACCGCTGGAAGCATGGCGGGCTTCCCCGCAGAACCCAGGACTTACCCACTCAGGCACGGCATCATTGAGGACTGGGATGGCATGGAAAACCTGTGGAGCCACCTCTTCTTCTGTGGCCTGAAAGCTCTCGCAGAGGAACAGCCGGTGCTCATGGCCGACTCTCCGTCTTGTCCCTCCACCAACAGAGAAAAGGTGGCGGAGGTGCTTTTCGAGAGCTTCCAGGTGCCAGCCCTGCACATGGCTAACACCGGGTTCCTCTCCCTCTGCGCCTACAGCAGAGTCACCGGTCTGGCCGTGGAGGCTGGGGCAGGAGTGTCCCATGCCACCTCGATCTGCCTGGGCCAGGCCTGGAGGGCGGCCACCTACCACCCCCGCCTGGCTGGGGGGTTTCTCTCGCGCAGCCTGTTGATGGAGAGCCCCAGTGACCCCTCTGTGCTGAGGGCCTTGAAGAAGACAACTGATCCAGCTGAAGAAGCAATGCTGCTATGTCTCCATGGACTATGAAGGAGACCTCCACGACCAAGGTTACCACCAACCGGTCAGATTTCAGGCCCCAATGGGCACTGGATAACCCTGGACAGGGAACGGTTCTGCTGCCCAGAGCCGCTC